TGTGCGTGTGCGTGTGCGTGTGCGTGTGCGTGTGCGTGTGCGTGTGCGTGTGCGTGTGCGTGTGCGTGTGCGTGTGCGTGTGCGTGTGCGTGTGCGTGTGCGTGTGCGTGTGCGTGTGCGTGTGCTTGTGCGTGTGCGTGTGCTTGTGCGTGTGCGTGTGCGTGTGCGTGTGCGTGTGCGTGTGCGTGTGCGTGTGCGTGTGCGTGTGCGTGTGCGTGTGCGTGTGCGTGTGCGTGTGCGTGTGCGTGTGCGCGTGCGCGTGCGCGTGCGCGTGTGCGTGTGTGTGTGTGTGCGTGGGTGCGTGTGTGCGTGTGTGCGTGTGTGCGTGTGTGCGTGTGTGCGTGTGTGTGGGTGTGTGCGTGTGACGTGTGCGTGTGTGTTTGTGTGGTGCTGGGTGTGTGTGGGTGTGTGCGTGTGTGTGTGTGTGTGCGTGTGTGTGTGTGGGTGGTGTGTGGTGCGTGTGCGTGTGTGCGTGTGTGTGTGTGTTGGTGTGTGCGTGGCGTGTGCGTGGTGCGTTTTGCGTGTGCGTGTGCGTGTGCGTTGTTTGTGTGTGTGTGTGCGTGTGTGTGGGTGTGCGTGTGGCGTGTGCGTGTGTGTGTGTGGTTGGGTGCATGTGCGTGTGTGTGTGTGCGTGTGTGTGCGTGTGTGTGCGTGGTGCGTGTGCGTGCGTGTGTGTGTGGGTGTGCGTGGTTGTGTGCGTGTGTTGTGTGTGTGTGTGCGTGTGCGTGGTGCGTGTGTGTTTGGTGCCGTGTGTGTGGTGTGTGTGTGTGTGTGTTTGCGTGCGCGTGGTGTGTGTGTCTTGTGCGTGTGGCGTGTGCGTGTGTGTGTGTGTGTGTGTGTGTGCGTTGCGTGTGCGTGTGCGTGTGTGTGTGTGTGTGTGGGTGTGCGTGTGTGTGTGTGTGTGTGTGTGTGCGTGTGCGCGAGTCCCTGGCGTACCTTTTCCCGTGCAGGCTCTTCAGCACCGCCTGCACCCCGCGCCCTCCGGCCGCCCGAGGCCCCGCCCGCCCGCGCCCCGGCTCCCCAACCAGTGCTCTGCGCGGCCCGCCTGGCTCGGAACCGGAAGAGGCTCGCTCTCGACCCGCAGACCCCCCCCCAAAAAAAGAAATTCCGCGTGTGCGCTGAGAGTCGGGGCGTTGACCTAAGGAGCCCTAAACAAGGAACGAGGCCCCCTTTTCCCATGAGATAAACTTCGATTTCCCATCGACCCCCCAAGGAAAACCCAAGGCGAACTGCAAAATAATTAAGGAATGCCGAGCCCCTCCCCACCGAAAAGGGTTCCTTCCTCAGCGCCCCGACTGTAGACTTGAAATGCCCAGTTTCGTCACAGGATGGGGAACCCAGAACGCTAGAGCAGCGGGGCGGGACTCGGCCGCAGGCGCACCCATCACCGGCGGGGCTGAGCTCAGCAAGCCTGGGTCCCGTCCAGTCGGCCGAGAGACCTGCTGGGGGGCACACGAGGTACCCACTAGCACTCTCCCTCAAAGCAGTGTGTTGCACTTGGGGAATCTTACTTCCCTCATGTACTTGAATGGGTCCGCCGAGCTTTCGCCTGGGAAGCGTTTCTCACTCGGCGTTTCGACATTGGGCGGAAGGGGGGGGGAGGGGGGTCTGGCTCTGGACCTCTGCTTAATGCGACTGTTTGCAGCAGTGCGTACTTCTATGGGGGGAGGCCCCGCCTGCTTGAAACAGGCGCCCCGAACAGCCAAGATCTGCTATTTCGGGGGGGGTGGAGAGAGGGGGTGCGAGGGCCCGCGCCGATCGGCAAAACAACGAACAAGAAAACCATCACTTAGGGGTTCATACTTCGGTTCCTCACTCGCCATCGCTCGGACGTCCATTCCCTGTGTTTTTTTCGGTTTCGTGCGTGGTTTTTTTCGCCAAATGAGAAAGGATGCTCCTCGATGGTCCTCGACGAAGGGAAATTGCACACGTCCGAGCGATGCCAAGCTCAAGGAACTGCGTGGGTCGGCCGAGCTTTCGCCTGGTGCCCGCCCGCCGGGGGCGCCCGCGCGGCCCTCGTGGGCGCCTCGCGCTGGGCAGCCTCGCCGCTGCTTCGCCCGGTGCCCGCCACTGGGGCGTCTCTTGGTAGTCCCCAAACGTGGTGGTGACAACACCTGGCGGTGAGTCTCGGGCGATTTGGTGTCACCACCTGGTTCGGGGACTCGTGCGGCTTTCCGAGGACGTCCCGAGCGTTGGTGGGTCCAGGAGTCACAGAGACCGGCGGTGACCCCGCGTCCCCAAACCCAGCGGTGACCTTTTTGGGGATTCCAGGTCGCCACCCTGCGCAGGGGTCCATGCGCAAGGGTGGCTAGCATCCCTCGTGCGGCCAGGTGCCAGATCACAGATCTCGCTTGCGACAAGGCCGCCAGCGCATGCGGATATGGCCGCCGACGCCGCGGCGCAGCTCCGAGATTCTCCGTGATACTGTGCCGCTGCCGCCGCAAAAACCGATGCGTGGATGAGCGCGCCGCTGCCCGATTACACAGCTGGCCGGTTTGGGGGTTCCCAAGTCTCGCGTGGGCGCCGCTCGTCGCGCGGGGCGGGGCCGCCGAGGCTTCGCCAGGGGCCCGCCCGGGGGGCGGCGCGCCGTGGGGCGCCTCGCGCGCTGGGCGGCCGCGTGGCTGGCGCCGCGGGAGTCTGACACATACCATCGAGGCGTACGAGGAGGAGGGGGAGGAGGAGGAGGAGGACGAGGAGGAGGAGGAGGAGGGAGGAGGAGGAGGAGGAGGAGGGAGGAGGAGGAGGAGGAGGAGGGAGGAGGAGGAGGGGGAGGAGGAGAAGGTTTTATGTTTCTATTAGGCATCATAAAGGACCACGTCGTGAAATATTCATCGGTTCGCACCATAGGGACGCACGATACAGTCGGGGCGTTGACCTCAGGAGCCCTAAATAAGGAACGAGGCCCCTTTTTTCATGAGTTAAACTTCGATTTCCGATCGAAAACATAAGGAAAACCTGAGACGCCGCAAGATCTGACACATACCATCGAGCCGTACCATAGGGACGCACGACACAGTCGGGGCGTTGACCTAAGGAACCCTAAATAAGGAGCGAGGCCCCTTTTTTCAGAAGTTACACTTCGATTTCCGATCGAACACATAAGGAACACCTGAGGCAAGCTGTGAAACGATAAAAGGAACGCGGAGCCCCTCCCCAACCAAAAGGGTTCCTTCTTCAGGGCGCCGCAGGGTCCGACACATACCATCGAGGCGTACCAGAAGGCTTTCTTTTTCTATTAGGCAGCGTAGAGGACCACGTTGTGAAATATCCACCTGCGCGTGCTAAGTACGAATACTACACTCGAGAGCCGACAGGTCACCAGTGACAGGTCACTACTGCCAGAAGGACGCACGAGAAGGACGCAAGGGCCGTGGAAGGCCCGTTCGAGGCTCTTGGAGCGGGGTGCGGCCAACGAAAGTGGCCAAGGGTGGGCCGAAGAGGCAAGGATGCCAGGGTGCCCTGCGGAGAAGTGCCCATGCTTACTAAGCGGGTTGATTGTATCTCGCACACCACATAGATTCCTATTTCAAAACTCCAGCCACCGCCCCTCGAAGCTGGACTTCTCCTCCCCCATCGCATTGCACAATCGATATGATGCTGCTCCATCTCTGACTTGTCATACGAACCGATACCATCCCAGCCTGGTCGGTACCCCCCCCCCACCCCTGTCAAACGACACTTTGCCTCCCACATTCGTTTATCTCGAGAGAACATTCCCAACCATCCCGCGGTGTTGGGCCCTCGTTTTGATAAGACAACGCCCCGCGTCCTCCTCTCGTCTCCTCCTCCTCCTCCTCCCTCACTCCCGTCCCAATGGCGCCGTCCGCATGGCTCCGCGCTGCCCAGTTGGGCTGACCCTATAGAGAGCTCCACCCAGGGCCCCCGTGGCTGCGGTCGCACGCGTCCCCGCCGCCCAGGTCGGCACACCCCTCACACGCGTCGTGACGGCATGGGGAGTTCCGCGTGGGATGCCAATGGCTGCGGCCGCATGCGCCCCCGCCACCCATGTCGGCACACCCCTCACACGCTTCGTGGCCCCATAGGGAGCGCCACTTGATGCAGTGCGGCACGCCCCTCGCGCGCTCGTGGCCCCAGAGGGAGCTCCACCAAACAAAGGAATTCTCCCAACCGCGGTACTCAAAACTGCATGCGGCTGTGTCCTTCGCGGGTATCTGTTGGTCAATGACCCCTCGCCGAAAAGGACACAAGTGCCCACAAACGCGCACCTGTCAAAACCAGACCAAACGCATTACCGTTGCAAACGTGTCAACAACAATCACAACTTCCGGATCAAACGCAGCAAGTTTCAGAAAACATATGACCGATTTTCGGTCCGCACACATTAGCCTGACTCGACAAAAACCAAACGACTTGAGCAATGACGCCCAGAACTCGCATTCTCGTCTCACCCCGCGAAACATCCACGTTGGTCCGGCATGCGCCCGGTGCACGGGCCCGTATCATAAAATGCCATGCGGGCTACACGCGCGCGCCGCCATGCTCGCGTGTCGAAACTCGTTGTCCAAAACGTGCCAAGAAACAACTGCCAACCAGCATATGAAGGATCATATGCTTGTCAAGCAAAAAGTCTACCAAATACACATGGACATCATGGTCGCCATCGTCGACAACATCATCGGCGCCGTCATTGGCCTTGCCGTCGTTCCCGTCGTCATCGCCACCACCATCGTTACTGTCATCATCGTTGCCACCGTTGCCGACGTCATCATGATACCGCGGCCGCCCGAGCTACCGACCCGCACTGACGTGCCCGCGCTCCAGTGCGGCCTCTGAGAAGCGCTGGGGAACTCCCATCGGCAAGCGCCATCGCGGCCGCATCAGTTATGCAAACCCACTGGCAGCTCTACGCGTGAGCTTGCGCGCGCCAGCACGGACGCGGAGATGCGTCAGCCAGTGCCCAGTAGATGCGCAACCGTGGCCGCATAGGCTTTCCACAAGAAGGTGCGGGTGGGAGGTTCGATATGTGCGCGGGCACTGGAGTTGTCAACTTGGCAACAAGCGACTTCCAAACATTATCATTGGGCCGCGTAGCTTGCACCACGTAGCTTTCACTTTCACGACATAGCTTACAACACATACCTTGCACTGCACAGCTTGCACCACATAACTTGCCCCACATTGCGTACAATGCACAAATTGCACTACATACCTTGCACCACATGGCGGGCTGGAAACACTGCTGAACCCAAAAGCCCTGTCAACTCTTGGGAAGACCCCTTTTCCTTCCGCCAACTTTCGCCAGCCTTCCGCCGCCTTCTGCGAGCGGAGCCGGCCTCGTTTTACTTCTGCGAGCTTCCGCCGACCTTCCGCCGCCTTCCGCAGAGGAAAAGATGGCAATTTCTTCGATCCTCGAAAGCGAGGCCATGTTTGGAACGCCTCACATAACTTATTCCGCATGGCTTGCACAGCCTGGCATCCACTGCATGTCTTGCACCACGTAGCTTGCACTACATTCATGGCACCAGATAGTTTGCCCCACATAGCTTGCACCAGTTATATTGCACCACGTAGCTCACACCACGCAGCTAACAACGCACAGCTTTCTCTCCCGCAACGCTTACTGCGCGGTGGCCACCCTTGCAACCACTTGTTGCTGCTCTCTCTGGGAGGTTCAAAACGTTGCCAGCAGGTGTTTGGTCAGTGCTCAGTGTATCTGCTCGGCTCGGGGTGCATGCTCCGCAGGTCTGTTGATCGCCAGGTGGCGTGCTAAGGCTGCCATCTCTGTTGGTCCGACTCGGTCGGACTGGCGTCTCCCCCTTTTGTTTCACTGATGCTGAAGCACTGGCCTGTTTTGAAACGACAACGCACGACTTGGGGTGAGGGCGGATGGAGAGAGGAAGAGATGGATGGGGATAGTAACAGAATGGTGGCACGGAGGAAAGACGGGTATGTAGGGAAAGAAAGGAGATAGGAGGAACATGAGGGAGGGACAAAGCGACGGAGGCAAAGTGTCAAGGAGTTACCTCGAACACTCTCTCCTTCAATCCGTATTTCTCCAAATCCGCCGACCCTGTCGGCGTGTGCGAGGGGCTTCTCCGTTCGAGTTGTCGTCTCCGTCGTCTCCTCGTCGTCTTCGTCGTTGTCACAGGTGCCTTTCCCTGGGCCCTCCTCAAGCGTGCCGTCCAAAGCGAAATTGTACATTGTCGTATTGGAGTTGGAGGGAAGGCCCTTCCCTTTATCCTTTCCCCGTGGGGGGGGTCCCAGAGGATGGTCCGGGGGGGGTCCCGGGGGGGGGGCTCGCCACCCAGATTCGTTTTCTCCCGGGCAGCCCCGACATATCGAACAGCCCCAAAAAGAACCCAGAAGGCCGGATATGGCTCCCAAGATTGCCCACAAGAGCCCCGTGTCGTTCAAAGATCGGCCCAGCACGGCCAATATGGCCCCAAGACGATCCAAGAAGCCTCCTAGACATCCCAGGAGCTCTCCAAGAACACCCCCACCAAGGCTTCAAGAGGCTCCTGCACTGCCCTTCTCCTCCTCCTCCTCCTCCTCCTCCTCCTCCTCCTCCTCCTCCTCCTCCTCCTCCTCCTCCTCCTCCCCCCCTCCTCCTCCCTCATCCACCTCCTGTACCCCTCCTCCTCCTCCTCCTCTCCTCCTCCTCCTCCTCTCCTCCTCCTCCTCCCTCCTCCCACTCCTCCTCCTCCTCCTTCTCCTCCTCCTCCTCCTGCTCCTCCGCCTCCCCCTGCATCCCCCCCTCCTCCCTTTCATCTTCGTCGTCTTCAATATCGGCGGCACCGGCCATAAGGCCTTCGCAATCCTCCTGTAAGTTTGGCCCTCGTTATGATTCGCAGAGCCGCGCGTCTCATCCTCTCGACGCCTCTCCTCTTTTGTGCATCTCATCCCGGCCACATCATCCTCTCCTCTCCTCCACCCCTCCATCCTCGTGCTCCTTTCGTTCCAAGCCCTCCGCAGCGCCGCGCGTCACCGTAACTCATCTCAGCCCCGCTCCTCATCCTCCTCCTCCTCCTCCTCCTCCTCTTCCTCCTCCTCTTCCTCCTCCTGCTCCTCATATTCCTCCTCCTCCTGCTCCTCCTCTTCCTCATACTCCTCCTCCTCCTCCTCCTCCTCCTTCTCCTCCTTCTACTCCTCCTCCTCTTCCTCCTCCTCCTCCTCCTCCTCCCAATTATGATGATTCCTCCTTCTCACTCCCCTGTTCCCCCATCCCATCGCTGCCTCTCTGGTTCCTTTTTGGACACACCACTCGCGCGCTCCGTGCCCCGCAGGGAGCTCCACCTGTGGCCTCCGTGGGAGTGCCCACGTGGCCTTCCCGCGCCCGTTTCGGCACTCCCTCCTCCCCTCCTCCCCCCTCCCCTCCCTCTCCCCTCCCCTCCCCTCCCCTCCCCTCCCCTCCCCTCCCTCCCTCCCCTCCCCTCCCTCCCCTCCCCTCCCCTCCCCCCCTCCCCTCCCTCCCTCCCTCCCTCCCTCCCTCCCTTTCTGTGCCGCCACGGGGAGCTCCACCCATGACCCCAGATGGCATCAGTGTGGCGCCCCCGCGCCAATATCGGCACACCACTCGCGCACTTCGTGCACCCACAGGGAGCTCCACCGATGGCCCCAGTGGGGTGGTGTCGACATGGCGTCCCCGCGCCCATGTCGGCACACCCCTAGCACGCTCCGTGCCCCCACAGAGAGCTCCACCGATGGCCCCAGCGGGGACGTCCGCATGGAGTCCCCGCACCTCTTTCGGCGTACCTCTCACACATTTCCATGCCAACACAGGGAGCTCCACCGATGGCCCCAAAGGGATTGTCCACATGGCGTCGCCGCGCCCACGTCGGCACGCCCCTCAGCCGTTTCGTGCTCCCACACAAAGGAGTTCCACCGACTGCCGCACTGGGGCTGTCCACGCGGCGTCCCCGCGCCGCTTTTTGCACATCCCTCGCACGCCTCCTTTTTCTCAGCAGGGGGCTCCACCGATGGCCCCCGTGGGGGTGCCCACGTGTCGTCCCCGCGCCAACACTCAGCCGTTTCGTGCCCCCTGCAGGGGACTCCGCCGATGTCTCCAGTGGCAGTGGGCGTGTGAACCTGGCTTTCCTGCGCCGACTTTTGCACACACCCCTCGCACGCTTCCTTTTCCCAACAGGGCGCTCCACCTACGGGCCCCAGTGGGACTTTCCACGTGGCGTCTGCGCGCCCATTGCGGCACACCCCTCGGAAGCTCTGTGCCCCCTACAGGGAACGCCACCGATGCCTCCAGTGGGGGTGTCCACAGGGCGTCCCCGCGCCCACTTCGGCGCACCTCACACGCTTCCGTGCCAGCACCGGGCGCTCCACCGATGGCCCCAGAGGGATTGTCCACATGGCGTCCCCCCCGCGCGCACTTCGGCACACCCCTCGCGCCCTCCGTGCTCTCCCACAAGGAGCTCCACGGATGGTATGGCGCCTCCGCGCCCCTGTCGGCACACGCTTCAACGCGTTCTCGTACACTGAGCGGCTCCGTGGACGGTCGCCCCGCGTTTCGAGAGGGCCGGGTTCTTCGCCAGGCCGACTGGAAAAACCAGCGAGCCAGAGCCATCGACCTCCACACGTCGCCCGGGGGGCGCGTCCTGACCAGAGAGTCTCGAGGGGGATCCAGCCGCGGCAACGAAGTGGCTCACGGGCACCCCAGAGAGGAGCAATCGATTGCCCGCCGCTCCTCTCTGAAGGGGCCCTGGGACACACAAATAAAAACACACAGATAACAGGATTCCCTATATCTTCCCACATGTTCAGGGTACTTGTCTTCCCCCACTTTCCGTATTCTCCGATAATTTCTGGCGAATTTGCAATTAATTGTGTCTGTGTGTGTTTTTTCCTCCTGAACCTCGACCCTCGGGAACTCGGCGGACATGGGCGGCTGAATCGGGGGCACTCGACTCGGCGGAAAGCAGCAGGCTGGCGGGCCTCCACTGAGAACTCGGAGTTCGAATCGGCATCCGAGGCCGAACCGAATCGGACCCTGAACCCGAGGCTGAATCCGAGGTCGAATCGAAATCGAAGCCGACGACGCATCGACACCACCGACGTACAACATCGAGTCCAATCGGAGGCATCGCAAGGACGACCCCCCCACCGCTGGACTCCGAATCCGGAGTCGAATCGGAATCGAGTCGGAATCGAATCCGAAGACGAATGGGAACCATCGGAATCGAAAGCGAGTCCAATCGGAGGCATCGCAACGACGACCCCCCATCGCTGGACTCCGAATCCGAAGTCGAATCGAAATCGAGTCGGAATCGAATCCGAAGACGAATGGGAACCATCGGAATCGAAGGCGAGTCCAATCGGAGGCGTCGCAACGACGACTCCTCCCCCCCTCCCCCCCTCGCCGGGCCGCGGCCCCGGGAGGCGGCCTCCCAGGAGCTGTACGCCGCGGGGACGCGCCGCTCGAGCTGGCACCCCCAGTCCCTGTGGGCCTGGAACACCTCCTGGGAAGGAGGAGGGGAGGAGGAGGAGGAGCGAGCGAGGAGGAGGAGGAGGAGGAGGGGGAGGAGGAGGGGGAGGAGGAGGAGGAGGGGGAGGAGGAGGAGGAGGAGGAGGGAGGAGGAGGAGGAGGAGGAGGAGGAGGAGGAGGAGGAAGAGGCTGCGAGGGGCCAGGGGGGGGGGGGGCGCAGGCTGCAGACGCCCTCGCGCCGAGGACGAACCCGCTGCAGCCATCGAGCTGCAAGCGAGGAGCGCCGCAGAGGGCACTGGCGGAGCTCCGCTGGCCACGGGGCGAGCCTCGGCCACGAGCAGGCTGCCGGACCCGGGCCGTGGGAGCGCCCCGAATAAACCAAGGATTGCAAAAAAAAAACGGATTGCAAAAAAAACCCTTGAACAAAGGATTGCACAAAAACCTTGGGTTTTTTTGCAATCCTTGGGTTTTTTTTCCAATCCTTCGGGTTGTTTTTTTGAATCCTGGGTTTTTTTGCAATCCTTGGTTTTTTTTGTTTTTTGCAATCCTGGTTTTTTTTTGCAATCCTTCGGCCCCTCGCGAGCCCCCCGAGCGGTCCCCATTGCGGCGCCTCGACTGTGCCGAGTCTCCTGGGCCCCGGCCGCGGGAGCGGCCCGCACACCGGAGCCCCTCGCGAGCCCAGAGCGGTCCCTACTCGTGCCGTCGCTCGGACGTCCATATTCCCTGTGCGTTGTTCGGCTTCGTGCGTGCTTTTGTTTTTGCCCGATGGCCCAGGATGGTTCTCGATGGTCCTCGCCGAGAAAAAATGCACACGTCCGAGCGATGCCAGGTATTTCGGCGTCTCGACTGTGCCGAGTCTCCTGGAAGACACCCCTCAGCCAGAATCCCAAGACGAATCGGAGAACCCCTCCAAGCGGCGGTGGACAAACCTCCCTGTAGTAAACATCCCCTCAGTGAGGACGGCCTGGGACCGAAACCGACGGACCTGGACCTGCAAAAATGACGGCCGCGACGCCCTCTCGCGAACCGACAACGGCCAATTCCTTAATCGACGTGTCAGGGTAGGAGGTCTATCCACCTCCGATCCAAGATGGAGGCTGCAAACGTGCCGGCGGGAGAGAGGTTCCCGATCAGGGCTGTGGCCGGCGGCCCGCACCGGCCCAATTCAGGGATGTGGCGGGCGCTCCAACGCCAGCGCCATCATCCACGGCTCCACTGGACGTTTTCCACGGGGCGTGAAAGACATCGTGATACGATTGGCTCAGGATGCGCTCCAGAATCTCCGGAGTATCTGGCGGCCCTCGTTTCTGCAGCCCGTGTGAAGCGTGAGGGAATCTCGGAGCCCGGGAAATCTCAGAAGTCTTTGAACGTACCGATATCTTGACCTAGTGACTAGTGCTCCTCTGAGTAACGACGGGAAGCTTGAGCAATTTTCGGCGCTCGCCGCTGCACTCCGCTGATTCCCCCTTGCACGCTGCCCCTCTCCGCTCGTCGCTGTCCTCCAACACTCGTCTGCAATCTCTCGACCCGGACATCCTCGCGTCCTTGGAAAATCACGACGACATGTTTTGGTTTATTTTTTGGCCTCCGGGGGCCCGTGCTGGGCCCCAGGACCGCCAACAACACTACCGATGATCAACACGCCGGGCCTGGGAGGACGGCCATTTGTTTAAACAATATATATATATAAACAAAATATAATGAGTTTCGGTATCTGGCCGACGGTTGGGGGAAGGGGGGGTCCTGGTCCGGGTCAGTGCTCAGTCGATCTGCTTCCAGTCACTGTCCGCCCGGCCCTCCTGGCCCCTCAGATAACCGAACACCGAGTCCCCGACACCAGCCGATAATCCACTTGAGCAGGGACCGACCGTCCCGGCATTCCTACAGTCCTACCACGAAATGTTCTTAGAACACAAAAGTGTCCTAAGAACAAAAACAAGGTTCTTAGAACATAAACCCGATGTGATAACACAAGACAGACTCCGCCAGAAATGTTCTAAGAACATTTCGGGGAAACCAAAAAAAGTTCTTAGAACATTGTTTGGTAGGGATATAGGCGAGCAAGGACGCTTCGCCGCTGCTTGATCCACACTCTCTCTGGACCGGCCGTCTGGGCCGGCCGCCCGACCCGCCCGTCCGGGTCCGCCTGCCCTGACCCGCCCGTCTGGTTCTGCTGCTGGCGCTCCTGTTCCCAACCCCCTCCTGCTAGTCTCTCTCGTGCTCCACCCTTCTCTTTTCTCCTTGTCCCTTCCCTCCTCCCTCCCTCCTCCCTCCCTCCCCCTGTTTTGGGGCTGCGCCAACCACACTCGGCAGGTAAGGAACAGTCACCCCCAAAAACGAAGAGTGCGGGTATCGAGGGCTCGCGATTTACATGTCGAGTGATACGCGGCCAGATAAGAGCGAACAGTTTAAAAGTGATGGAAGGATCACTGCTGCAAAGCAGTTCCGTTTGATCACCCCTCCAGTGCGCCTCAACTGAAGGGGCCCTCCCAGGGCTCGCACCATTTTTTTTGTTTTTTAAAAAGCATCTTAAGCCTCAGACTGGGCCCCTGGCCCCCGGCTTACGCCAACAGCGGCTCCCGCCACAGGCTTCCCCACAGGTGTACCCCACGTCGCGCCCTCGCACGGGGCTCCCTCCTCACAAATTGATGTGATATAATCGTCCTCTGCCGCTGGACCGCCCTGCAACTTCTCGACACGCCACGCCTTCGATTCTCAGGAATCGCGCTCCTGCCCTGGACCTTCCTACGATGTCCTTGCTCGCGCCTTCGCTCGAGACTTCCTCGCGATTCCATGCACGACTGACGCTTCAGCGATGCGCCCGCTCGACCCGGCCGACCAGGCCCACCCGACCGACCCGCCCGTCAGAGTCCGCCCGCCCGCCCCGCCCGTCTGGTTCTGCCGCTTGTCTCCCTGCTCCTCTCTCCCCCTCCTGGTAAACCCTCTCGTGCTCCGTCCTTCTCCCTCCCCCTTGTCCCTTCCCTCCTCCCACCCTTCCCCTGCTCAGGAGCTGCGCCAACTATACGTGGCAAGTATAAATATGCCCCCAAGGGGGGCACGATCGGAGATGAAGAGGGTGGCTATAAAGAGTTTGGGATACACATGTTAGTTTACACGCGAGCAGATAAGAGCGAGCAATCTTAGAATAAGCGATGTTGTTGTTCGTTGTCTTCGCCCGCAACCCGGCCACGACTGCCCGCGATCAACCCGCGACTCGCCCGCGGCCCACCCGCGACCCACCCGCGACCTGCCCACGCCCCACCCGCGACCCACCCGCGTCCGATCCGAGACACACCCGCGATCCCCCCAAGCTGGTTTGACAAAAAACACGGCGCTTGCCGCGGGCTCGGCGTCCGCGGCGGGCTGCTTCAAATTTGATGTCGATGCTCGCAACCCGCCCACGACCCCTCGCTCTTATCCGCAGTGGACATGCGGGCTTGACAGCTTCGGGGATGCGCTCGTGTAATCCCAAGCTGCTGCCCTACACGAAGTCGGTCGATCCGAAGTAGGCTCTCTGATAGCAATGGTCTGCTCATTCTATCAAGCAAATTACGAAGGTATTGGCACAGGTAAATCCTCGCGCGACTTCTCCGATGGATAGTTGAACGTCATCAGCCGGTTAGAGCAAGCATGTATGTTGTTCGGCTCCTCCCCTGACCCTACGCCATCACTGTTCAACGTGACTGGTAAAGCATCACTGGACACGCTGATTTCCACATGCGCTTGACATGCCTCTCAGTGCAAGTATTGCACACAAATTGTGTGAACAGTGCAGTGCAAAAGACAAATGACATGTATGCAGCCTGAAGCTCACTACTACAAAGAACAGACATTGCCAACAATACAAAATCACAATATTCGCATCCTTCTGGCCTGCCAGTGCTGCACTGCCTGAGTAGGGTGGCCGGCGCTGTCGTACGATCCAATCCACTAGCCGCCCCTTGCCCTCCAAACTCAGACACTTATCTAAGTGCTCAATGCATATGTCGACATCTCCCTGGTCGCGGTGCAGCAAGGCCAAATTGTTCAACGCTTCGGCGTCTTGCGGATTGGCTTCTAGCGCGACCTTGGTCAACCGGATGGAGTCGGCCATCCTTCCAACAGCCCCATAGACTGCACCTCCAGAGGCGCAGCAAACTGCCGAAATCAAAAACAGCGAGAGTCAGAAGATGACAGGCTTCGGACTGGGCCAGCCCACCAAATCGACGTTACGGCTGCAAGTCGGAAGTCCCACCGACAGTAGAGGACGACTCAGACGTCCAACTTGAAGCGCGAGCTAGTGTGCCGCGCGCGCACATGCCCGCCAGGAAGCTTTTGCACAACAAAGGCCACTCAGCACTGCACAGAACGGTGGCGTCGATCAAAGCATTGCGACATCAAGCGCGCTGCCAAATGTACCAGCATAGCGACGCATTGCATCTCCGACTCTGCGTCGCACAATTCCGGCACCGTGTGCGTCGAGGTACGAAGCTGTTCTGCATCTCCGGGGGACCTTGTCTGTCCCATGGCGCCCTTACCTGTGCGAATATGTGTCGAGTCCATGTCGGCCTTGTCGAGCCCGCGTCGGACCCGTGCCGAATCCGTGTCGACTCCGCGCCAAATCCGCGTCGAGCCCGCGTCGGGCGCAAGAGAAGACACCAACTTTGGGGAAAGACGAGGTCCCCCGAAGATGCAACGTAAACGAAGTGGAGTGTATCCATGGGTCGAAAGAAGAAGGTAGAAACATGAAGTAGGAAGGCGTTGAAAGTAGATTTGGTGTCCGCTCGCCCCCTGAGGAGGACGGCAAAGGTGAAGTCACTCGATCTTTGCAATGGGAAGGCGCTTAAAGTAGATTGGAACCTGGGGCTCCAACAATACCTACTTTCAACGACCGATGGGTAGCTGTTCTGCACAGAAGAAAGACAACTCGTCCATGGGCCCCAGGCCCCCGGATGCGGGCGCTCATCGGGGGCTCCTCGGGCGTGTCGCGTGCAGCCCCCGGGCTTCTCGCGGGATCCTTCCTTGGCCCAGGCCCCCCCCCCCCCCGGGCGGGCCCAACACGGCCCCGAGAAGCACCCGACACAGTTCCGGAGGACCCGGAGACGCTCAAGATGGCATCAGGACGGCACAGGGGTCCAAGAGGGCCCAGAGACGCGCCAAGGGGGCCCTAAGAGGCTCCCCAAGACGGCCCCAATCATCACAAGTCGTTGATCCCTAGACGGCCCAAGAGGCCCTCCAGAGGGCCCCCAGACGGCCTGGTAGGGCCTCACGACGGCCCAAGGGACCCCCACGACGACCCTAGCCCAAGCGGGCCCCAAGAGGGCCCGCAAAAGGGGTCTAAGAGGGGAAACCAGAACTGACACTTCGAGCTCTCCGCCCCAAGATGACCCAAGAGACCGCCAGCAAGCCCTTGAGAGGTCCCCAAGAAATTTTATGAGGCCCCCAAGACCCCAAGAGGCCTCGGAGAGGCCCCAAGACACTCCACAACCGCATCCAATAAGCTTCCGAGAAGCCTCCCAGAGGCAACCATGATCCCCACATGCACACAAGAGGCTCCTGACCTACAAGCCAGGCACGGCTGCGGGGGCCTAAGGCCACCAGGACACACATAACCCACGTACCGAACACATCACGGCTTTTCTCATGCAGAATGCGGTGCCATTAGATTCATCTGCAGCTAGCAGCCAGCCACGCAATCATATAACCAAGTGGCCAACGAAGAGCGCCGGCCGATAATAACGGGTCTGTCGCCATAGTAGCAAAACTCGAGATCAAGAGGTCGGGTGCACCACGGAGTGCGCACACGTGGCAGCCTGTGCGGAATGAAGGGGTGCAAGGCGTGATGCGTGCCGAGGGGTGGTGAATGGCAAGGCGATGGCGTTGCACGGGGAAGCGGGGGACACCAAATGACATGAGCAGTCGGCAGGGAGCAAGGGCTCCCAACTTCGCGCTTCGCGCTGCGCGAAGTGCGAAGTGCGAATAACTTCGCGCTCTCGCGCCGCCTCCCAGGAGAAGAGAGGAGGATGAGGGGGAATCGGAGCCGAACCGCGAAGCGCGAAGCGCGAATAACTTCGCGCCCTCGAGGGCGCCCTTGGGGAGAGAAGCCAGGATGCCGACGGACGGGCACCTAAGTTCTTGCTCGCCAGGTTCATGCCGGGGTCCACTTTCAGCGCCGTCTCGAAGCAGTGGATGGCGGCCTCCATGTTGCCCTGCCTGCCGACCCCGTCTCTGCCTCGTGCCGAGCCCCCGCCGATGCCATAAATCGAGATCGAGCCCTGGCGCAGGGCCGATTCGGGAAACTTGGACGCCCGAGTTATCCGGGGTAACTCGGGTCCGGGGTAACTCGGGTTTGGATTCCCGGAAAAGGAACCCGAGTTAGCCCTGACCCGAGTTATCCCTGATGATTCGGGGCTCTGGACGCCCGAGTTATCCGGGGTAACTCGGGTCCGGGGTAACTCGGGTTTGGATTCCCGAAAAACGAACCCGAGTTAGCCCTGACCCGAGTTATCCCTGATGATTCGGGGCTCTGAGAAACCCTGAACCCAAAAATGCTGTCGCCTCGCTCTTACTTCTGCCTGCCTCCCCTGGCTTTCTGCCGGCAGAGGTGTCGGGCGCCGCGGCCTTTCCAGGCGCTATGGGACGCTCGGAGTGCTCTGGAGCGCCCTGGGGCAATACCTTCCCAAAACGGCAGTGCTAGTCACTTGGCAGAGGGGAGCGGTCACGGCCAACCATGCTTCGTCAGTGCGTTGCGAACACAAGCTGCGGCCCTTCTCCTGTGCGACCTGGACAATGCTAGACAGAACCGGGGAAACCTGGACTCGGAGAGCGTGCCCTGCGCAACCCACGGCGCAACCTGTGGTGCAGCGTGTGGCGGAACCCACACGGAGGGGGCAAGCTGTGATTCGGAGACGTGCCATGAGCAGCCTGTGTCGCTAGCAATGGTGCAACCTGCCGTGCTCAGTGAACCGGTGGGCGCGCAGAGTGCGGTGGCAAACTGTCTGTGTATACACACAGGCATACACATGTGAATCTGTAGATGTATGTATGTAGATGTATGTGTGCTTATGTAAATAACAGAGCGCGGGGGCCGAATGGTTGTCCCTGGGCTCGTGGCTGAAGTGAGGTTCCGCAGTGCGGATTGCTGTGGTTGTTGTTGCTGTTGCTGTTGTTGTTGCCGTTGCTGTTGCTGTTGCTGTTGCTGTTGTTACGTTGTTGACCTCTCATGATTAAAAATTTGTCGCTGGTTCCCCTTACCGGAGTTCGTTTTTTTTTTTTTTTTTTTTTTTTTTTTTTTTTTTTTTTTTTTTTTTTTTTTTTTTTTTTTTTTTCGCACCCTGTCAAACAAAATATTCCCGCTCAAACTGGGTTGTTGGCTTCTCGGCGACAGCAACAAAGGCTCCCGCCGGAGACTTCCCCACACTTTATTCCAAACTCGAGCTCGCACGCGTGACTTCCATACAATTTACACAGGACTCGCGCTCTCGCGTGGGACACCCTCGCAACTTATTCAGACGCCGCGCCCTCGAAACTCAGGAATCACGCTCTCGCTTTGGTTTTTCTCGCGATTTATTTGGGAATCGCGCTATCGCACGAGACATCCTCGCAACTCATGCAGGACTCACGCTTCAGCAACCCGCCTGCTCGACCTGGCCACCTGGGCCCGCCTTCGCGACCCGCCCGCTAGGGTGTGCCCGCCCGATCTGCCCGTCGGATTCTGCCACGTGTATTCTGCTCACCCTCTTGCTAATTTCTCCCGTGTTCCATCCTTTTCCCTCCCCCTTCCATTCGTTATATTTTCCCTTTTTGGTGGCTGCACTAGAAGCGCGTGTCAGGTAAGGAAGATATGCCCCAAGGGGGATACGATCGAAAACGACGAGGGCGGGCACCGAAGGTTTGGGATATGCGTGTTGAGTGGCACGAGAGCTTATAGGAGCGAGCATGTTTAAACTGATTGTGGTTGACCTCAGGATGCCGAACAATTTATTTTGTTCATCCCCCCCTTCGGCACACATGGTATTTTTCTATTTGAAGTGCCCTTGAGGGGCTCGCACTCTAACGGCTGCTGCTCTATTATCCTTGCAATGTATTGCCCCCCCGCTCCCGCATGAAACTTCCCTGCGGTGTACTCAAGAATTGTGCTCTCGCCTGAGACTTCCTTACAATTTACTCAGGCATCGCGCTCTCGCCATTCAGGACTTGCGCTCTCGCTTTGGACTTCCTGATAGTTGATTTGGAAACCGCCCGAGACTTCCTGGCGAAGTATGCAGGTCTCATGCATTCGCAACCAGCCCGCTCGACCCGCCCGTCACTGTCCGCCTGACCTTTCCGGCATGGCCCGTTGTCGCCCCTCGATGCTTTTCACCCGTTCCGATGCCCGCCGCTGCCCCTCGCGATATCGCAATTGGATTGGAAGACCCCGCCGCTGCCTTCTTGGCGTCCTCGATGCCTTTCGTGGCTCCGCTATTTGAGCCCCTTGATGCCGTTCGTGGCCCCGCGGTCGCCTTTCGTAGCCCCCCTCGCTGACCTTCGTGGCCCCGATGTAGCTTTTCGTGTTCCTTTCGGTGCCCTTCCTGGCCCCTTTGCAACCTTCAGCGTCTCCCTTCCGTTTAAGGCTGCGCCAATTGCGCGTGGCCGGTAAGAAAGAGATCTCCCCTAAAAGGGGCACGATCGAAGACGAAGGGGGCGGGTACGCAGGGTTTGGGAACACACGTTGTGATTGACACGCACGCGTATACGAGCGAACGATGTTAAGATTACGTTTCAATTCCCACTCTTGAAGAATGATTACTTTTCAATTGAAATGCCCCCTCTCGAGGCTCGGACCCTGATGTTTTAGCACACTACTCTTCATATTCACACTACACTGTACCCCTGATCCCTCGGCCACAACAACACTGGCTCCCGCCTGGCATTTCCTCACAAGTTATTCAAACATCGCACTCTCGAGAGGGAATTCCTCACAATTTATGCAGAACTCACGCTCTCGCGCAGGACTCCCTCGCAACTTATTCAGACGCCGCGCCCTCGACATTCATAATCATTTTTGTTCGTCTCTCTCTCTCTCTCTGGCTTTTCTCGCGGTTGATTTGGGAATCGCGCTGTCGCTCGAGACTTCCGAGCGGTTCATGCAAGACTCAAGGTTCAGCAACCCGCCTGTTCGACCTGGTCGCCTCGGCCCGCCTTCCTGACCCGCCCGCTGAGGTCTGCCCGTTTGATTATGCAAATGTATTCTGTCCTAGCCCCGTTCCTGCTAAGTTCTCCCATGTTCCATCCTTTTCCGTCCTCTTTTCCATTGTTTTTGGGGCTGCGCTAAATTCGCGTGGCAGGTAAGGAACATATGCCCCCAAGGGGGTACGATCGACGACGACGACGGCGGGCACCGAGGGTTCCGAATCTGCGCGTTGAGCGGCACGCGGAAAGACAGGAGCGAACACTCTGAAAAGGATTGTTGTTGAGCTCTCACTCTTGACGAGCGCTGGTTGCTGATCACCCCCCACTGGTGCACAAACTGTTTTTTCCTATCAACGTGCCCCCATCGGGGCTCGCTCCTTTTTTATTATCAGGGCAAGCCTGTGGTCACCAAACTGCGCCTCTGGCACCTGGCTGCCGCAACGGCTCCCGCCTAATACTTCCTCACAATGTATTCCAGAATCGCGCTCTCGCGCGGGACGTCCTCACATTTGTTTACAAAACTCGCGCTCTCGCGTGTTACTTTTTCACACCTTATTCAGGCGCCGCGCCCTCGACAGTCAGGAATGACGCTCACGCTTCGGATTGTCTTGCGATTTCCTTGAGAAGTGCACTATCGCTCGGAACTTCCTCGCGAATCATTCAGGACTCACGCTTCAGCCACCCGCCTGCTCGACCTGGCCGCCTCGGCCCGCCTTCTTGACCCGCCCGCTAGGGTCTGCCCGCCGATCTTCTCGTGCGATTCTGCCATCGTGTTCTGTCCTCCTCACAACTGATACCGCAATCGCGCTCTCGCGTGGGGGCTCCGCGCAATGTATTCAGACGCCGCGTCCTCGACACCCAGGAATCACGCTCTCGCTTTGGCCTGTTGCACGATTGACTTGTAAATCGCGCTTTAGCTCGAGACTCGCGAACCATGCAGGACGCACGCTTCAGCAACCCGACTGCTCGACCTGGCCGCCTGGGCCCGCCTTCCCAGCACGCCTGTTCGGGTATACCTGGCAGCTCTGCCCGTCTGGTTCTGCCACGTGCTTCCTGTCCCTAGCCCCCCTCCTGCTTCTCTCTCGCTCTCTCTCTCTTTCTCTCTCTCTCTCTCATTCCTTCATTTCTGCTCCATCCTCCTCTCTCCCCCTCGTCCCTTCATTCAATCCGTCCCCTCTTCCCCTGCCTTGGGGGCTGCACGAAATACACGTCACAGGTAAGAAAGATATACCCCAAAGGAGGTACGATCGAAGACGAACTGGGCGGGTATCGAGGGTTTGGGATTTACGTTTTGAATAGCACGCGCGCGTATAAGAGCGAACAGTCTTAAAATGATTGTTGTTGGTGGTGGTTGTTCGTTGTTTGCTGTTTGTTGTCATCGTCGTCCCCCCACGACCGCGACCCACCCGCGACCCAACCGCTACCCACCCGCGACCCACCCGCGACCTGGCCCGCGACCTGGCCCGCGACCCACCCGCGACCCACGCGCGACCCACCCGCGACCCACCCGCGACCCACCCCGCGACCGATCCACATTGCAGTAACTAGAGGAAAGAGAACTATGCACATACACCGATTCTGGCCAGGCCCATCCTGAGCCCAGAATCGGTGCATACGCCCTCTTACCTTGGCCAGGAAGGTATATGCACCGATCCTGGGTCAAGGATGGGCGTTGTCCGGATCGGTGCATGTGCATAGTTCTCTTCCCCCAATTAACAAGCAAATCGGCGCTTGCGGCGAGCTCGTTCAACGATCTGAAAAAATCAAGCGCCTGCGGCGGGCTGCTTCGGAGCCTCGCCGACTTGCCGACCTCCCCGCCGCCCCCTCGCTCGTGTCCGCAGCTGCGGGGCGTCACGTACCCATCGGTCGGAAGAAGTACACCCTGCGAAATGCTTAAGAAATCATGGGTTAAGAAACTCATAGTCTCAGAACTTGAATAAAAACCCAACATTTCTATTCAAATCTTAAGAGTTACATTGAAACGTTAAGAATAATCGAGACTCTGGCCGAAAACTTAAGTTTTCTTGAGCATCGCCTAAGGTGTAGGTCGACACATGAAGTGGGAAGGCGGATCAAGTAGATTGGGTTCGGGCCCGCCCAGAGCAGCAAAAGCAGAATCGATTCTTGAAGTATGAAGGCGCTTAAAAGTAGATTGGGTCCTGGGAATCCAAGAAATGCCTACCGTCAACGACCGGCGTGTAACTTTCGAGATGCCGCGCTCGGCGGTCCGGGGAAACGCGCCCATCTCTTACCAGCCTGGCACATGTCCCTATCCCCATGCTGCGCGCCGCCTCATCACAATCGATGCCGATCCTGGGGATGCCCTCAGGCTTCTCAGGGCGCACCCCTGAGATTGTCATCGCCTCTTTGAAGAGGCCCCAGGACACACACATAAACACACACACATAAAAAGATTCCCCATCTTTTCCCATATTTTGTGGGTTTCAGTCTTCCCCCCCCACTTCCCATATTTTCCCATATTTTCCTGGGAATCGACGATCAATTGCGTCTGTGTGCTTCTTTCCCTCCTGACTCTTGGCGTGCCAGTCTTAAGAATAGGGATCGGTTCGAGACGGGCGAGTCTCGGCCAGCTTTGGGCCCCCAGATAGGGGGCCGAAGTGGAGCTCTCTCTCTCCCCGCCGTTCTCCGGAGAGCCGTCCGCGGGGCCCCCCTCCCTCCTCGGGGGAGGGCGGCAACAAAACGTACTTACCAGCCTCCTCCTCCTCCTCCTCCTCCTCCTCTCCTCCTCCTCCTCCTCCTCCTCCTCCCTCCTCCTCTCCTCCTCCTACTCCTCCTCCTCCTCCTCCTCCTCCTCCTCCTCCTCCTCCCACTCCTCCTCCTCCTCCTCCTCCTCCTCGAACGTATCCCTATCTCTGAGATTCGCACGCCAAAGGGCGATGACAATCTCAGGGGTGCGCCCTCAAAACAAAAGGGAATAATCCCTGAGATTGGCATCGTGATGAGGAGGTGCCCAGCACAGGGATAGGGATATGTTCCAGACTGGTAACATACGCCGCCAGCGTATGGCGCGTCGGACGCACTCGTTGGCGGCGCGCGGAGTGGGGGGGGGGGGGGCAGGGGGACGCGGGGGGGGAAGGCTTCTTAGAAGGAGGCGGCTTCTCAGAAGGCGCCGGCCTCACACCTAGAGACAAGGCCCGCGCCTTCTAAGGAGCAGGGGTGCTTCTAAGAAGCCCTCCCTCATCCCCCTGCCCCCCTCTGCGCGTGGCTGAGTTTGCCTGCGCATCAGATGGCCTGCGTACGCTCACGCTCTACAGCCCGAACGTCCAAAAGCGTGTCTATCAGCGGATCGCTCGAAGACGCGTGCGAACGCAGATAACGCAGGTCGAGGGGGGCCGAGTGAGACTTGAGCGAATTGGACATGCGATCTTACTCCAGGCGACGTGCATGTGCACGTCAGCATGCAGAAAAAGGTTCGCGGCAGTTGGGAGGGTATGCTGCTCAGCTCTGCTCAGGTTTGGGAATGACACATGGCCTGACCATTACATTCACCTCCCCGCCTTCTGTGTATCACGCCCAGGTTATTGTGAGCAGTCGTGTGCTTCGGATCCAGGCGGGTCGCAAGCTCGTACTGCACCAGTGCGCGGTCCCATTTCTGGACCTCCGCGTACATCACCTGAGCGGGTCCAGGCGACGAACGCGGGGAGGAGGAGCATGAGGAGAAAGCAAGACGTAAAACTTGGGGCCCGTCGAGGGCCTGCTGAAGGCCTTCTGGGGCCTCTCCTGAGTCGTCCGGGCGTACCTTGGAGTTCCCTGGGGGCTCCTTCTCTAGAGCCTGACAGCGATGTCGCAACACGCAACACGTAGCGTATTGATGCGGAGCTCAAGGCGTCGACGGAAAACGTAGGCATGACGCGACACTTTCGCCAACACGTGCGCCAATACGCTGAGCCAACATGCGACGTATCGGCACGGACGTCTGAAGAACGGTACGTGCTGCGTTTCAAAATGGGCGTACAGTCGGAACTGGGCCAGAATAACATCTCTCAAGGGCACGAGACCTCCCGTCGGCCAACACACGCAGGATATCCTAGGGTACCCTCCCCAGGGTGCACAAGAGCATCCCACAAACAAGCAAGAAGAACACTAGGGTACCCTCCCCGAACCGACCTCGATCTTATTACAGGCCTCCTAGATGGGGTCGGAGTAGATGGGAACGGAGGACCGCGCCGCATCGCCAATATATCGGCGATGCATCGGGGATGTATCGGCGATGCACCAGCGATGCACTGACGATGCATCGTCGACGTGGGCGATGCATCGGCGAGGTCGACGTGAAGCGAATCGGGCTCCGCATCGAGCCGCATCGGTGATGCATTGGTGATGCGGCGCGATCCTCCGACCCCGTCTACTCGGACTCCATCTGGGAGGTCTAGACTTATACCTCGGTTCAACTGTGTCGATGCAGCGGGTCCAAGGGAGGGGCAAGATGGATGGCCAGCTCGCTGCGGCAGAACGCACCGGAGGTTTACAAAGAGAGGCGCGGACACCGATCCCGCGGCCCAGGGCTGGCCCGCGCAGGGATCGGTGGTGGCCCGCGGACGTTCACTGGTGGTGGGGAGCCCACTCCTCCTCCTCCTCCTCCTCCTCCTCCTCTTCTTCCCGATGCATTGAAGCCCTAGTCTGAAAGCGCACAACAAGTTACAGCAACCCAGCCTCTGTCAAGACCGCAACGACCAAATCCCCCCAGCCTTGGCAAGCAGGCCGCACACATGTTCTGGGGCCGTGTGGGCAGTGGGCGGCATGCGTCGAAGGCACTTGCGCAGGTCCCCGCGCGCTGTCGGACCCGCGCGCACGGACCGATGCTGGGCCCAGGACCGGCCCGCGCAGGGATCGGGGAGGTGGTCCGCGGACGTCCACCGGTGGTGGGGAACCCACTCCTCCTCCTCCTCCTCCTCCTCCTCCTCCTCCTCCTCTTCCTCCTCCTCCTCCTCCTCCTCTCCCCGGTGCGTTGGGGCCCTTGTCTGGGGACCTACCGGCCTTAGCAAGCAAACCGCGCACGTGTTCTGGGCGACTCCCCAAGCACCGAGCGCCCCTCCTTTACCGCGCCGTCCTCGACACGCTTCACGCGGGAGGTGGGCACGATATTCTCTGGCGGCAAGGCGCGAGCTGCGCTAAGCCACCGGTCGGCTTCTAACTTTTACGACCACCGAGGGCGCCCACCGCGAGTTGCGCCGAGCCACCGACTGGCCTCTAACTTTACGACCACCGAGGGCGCCCACCCGAGCGAGAAGAACCAGTGCTGGACCCTCGAACGCAGAACCCGCGACAGCTCCTACGCCAGGCCGTCGAAAGCAATGCCAGTGTCCCACGCGCTTTGGAACCCGCACGCAAGGACTCAATAATTACGCGACTCGGAACTGCCGAGCAGACCTGCATGAAGATGACGAGGATGTCACGAGCATAAGGCTTGCAAGAGCAGCTCCGATCACAATCTGGCAGTGAGACCCTCGTCGCACTCAAGATTACTGATCCATCTCCTTCTTCTTCCCTTTCGCCAACGTCCCCAAGGTGGGACGCCGTAGTGGGAGAGGGAGTGAGCCAGGGGATGGGGTAGAAAGAGAAGGGGAACAGGCAGAGACGGGAGAGAAGGTTTGGGATTAAACCGAGGTTTGTAACGAACGCAGGGGGCAGCACTCACGAAGCCAAACCCATCAGAGGGCGGGCGTTTTCGTTGAGACGAGCTCGCCGTTCTCGGGAGGGCACATGTAGAAGAAGAGAAAACGCCATAAACATAAACTTTGAGCGCTGCACGCGGATTTCTTGGATCTTCGCTGGACCCCTCTCTCTGATGCGCAGAGCGCGCCAGGGGTGGCGCCGGATGCGCCGCCAGGGGGGCCCCAGCGCGGATCCAAGAAATCCTCGCGGGCCGCCAGTAGCTTATGTTTATGGCGTTCCTTCTTTTTCTTCTTCTTCTTCTTCTTTTTCTTCTTCTTTTTCCCCATATCCTAAGGATTGGGGTTCTTGTTATTACTCTGACGCCTCCCACTCCTCCTCCTCCTTCTTCCTCCCGCTCGCGCCTCCCTCCTCCCAATGATAATCACCAGATAAGACAAGACAAGATAATATACTACAAGATAAGATAAGATAGCACAATATATGATAAGGTAAGATAAGATATATGACAAGGTAGGATAATCACTCTCACTCAGACTCACTCACAGACATTCACTCACACTCACACTCTCCTCATGATCACAAAACGCTGCCAGGGGCATCATTTGGGAGCCCCAAGGGGGAGCCACCCTGGCTGATCTCACGAGCCCGTTCGCGCCGATTTTGGTGGGACGTCTCAGCTAGAATTGCCGTTTGGCGCCCCCAACATGTATCTCTTGAGAGCCTCATGGTCGCAAAACGCTGCCAGGGGCATCATTTGGGAGCCCCAAGGGGGAGCCACCCTGGCTGATCTCACGAGCCCGTTCGCGCCGATTTTGGTGG